AATTTGAGAGAATTTTGTGTGATAAAAGTGATTGAGGATGAAGGTATTTATAGGGAGGATGTGACGTGAATTAGGGGTATAGCGCGCCCCCTGCACCGCGCTATACCCCACGTGTCAGATATTCAGGTATAGCGTGGATCAGGGGGCGAGCTATACCCACGTGGCGCCAGATCACCCTATATCGCGGGACAGGGGTACACTATACCCACGTGACGCCAAATCAACATATAGCGCGATGCAGGGGACGCGCTTTTCTACTAAAGGTGTTAGATCAAAAAATATAATCTGACTGATGTTAGATCGGTAATAATATCGATCACCGGTGATATACCGAGAAAATAATAAGTGAACTACGACAATGCGGTCCCACATAATAACCCAAGGAGGGAGATTTTGATCATCACATCAAGCCACAATACATGAATGTAAAAGAGTTGCATATAGTGTCGGTGTGCTTTAGGGTACAAGCAAAATACGAAACGCAACTTGGAGAAAAGAACCAAAAACCCAAGTGAGGCTGGGCAAGATCCACAGTAAATACTTGCCGGCACGGTTAGCGCTGCAAGTCATTGAAAAGAAGAAAATCCCGCGTGGTATAACAACGGGTAGAAAACCAAGATTTTATCAAGTCAAATACCAAATACTAGCTTACTGCACGTGTACCTGATGGTCGACTCGAGTCTTTTTGATGCAAGTACTTCTATAACTGCAATAATGCCGTCTAGTCTTTTGGTTCATTCAAATTTCATTTGAAAATTAATTAATTTATTTGTGTTTAATATATATATTTGATCTATGGTCCAAACCAAACCGGAGAGGCTACTTGGGACTTTTCCTTCATTTCCCCATTCTTGCTCTTCAACTCATTGTCGGCGACCAATCTAAACTGTTGGTTTAGATATGCAGAGAAAGTGAGTGGATTTTTTTATTGTTGAAAAGCTTAGCTGGTTTCTGTACTTTGGCTTTACATGGAGGAAGCATTCCCATTATAAAATCCTCATTAGACCTCCCATTTTTTTGTATCACCCAAAGTCTTTTTCCAGTCATTTCTCTCTCTCTCTCTCTCTCCACAGATTCCAAGCTTATTCCCGGTACTTTTTAACTTTAATCAATGGCTGCATCTTCACTTATAATCTCTCCCAGAAAGCTTCGATCGGATCTGTACTGTTATTCCTATCAGAACGATGCCAACATCCCACTGGTGATATCGGTTCTCGCTTCGCTCATAGAGAGAACAATGGCGAGAAACGAGAGGATTGCCAAGAACTGTCGATGGGCATCGAAGAGCAGGGTTTTCGATTGCCACGAGACACCCGACATGACGATTCAATCTTACCTTGAGAGAATCTTCCGCTACACCAAAGCCGGACCGTCGGTTTACGTCGTGGCCTACGTTTATATCGATCGGTTTTGCCAGGCGAATCCTGGGTTTCGAATCAATGCGAGAAATGTACACAGACTTCTCATCACAACGATCATGGTCGCTTCCAAGTATGTTGAAGACATGTGAGTAGTATCACCTGACCAACTTTAATTTTTCACCTGAAAACATGTGATTTGGGTTCTTATTCAACTGTTTTTCCCCCAGGAATTACAGAAACTTTACTTTGCACGAGTTGGAGGATTGACCACAAATGAATTGAATCATTTGGAGGTTGAATTTTTGTTCATGATGAGTTTCAAATTACATGTGAATGTAAGTGTGTTCGATAGCTATTGCAGTCATTTAGAAAGGGAAGTAAGCATCGGAGGAGGATACCACATCGAGAAGACTCTAAGATGTGCTGAAGAAATTAAATCGAAACAGATTCAAGAAAGAAGTTACAATCACATTGCTCGCATTTTGTTGTAATTTTACCATCATTAAATCTGGGAATTTTCATCCTCCCTATTTTGCATTTGCAATGGGGGTATGTTATAATTTATACATTGGAAAAAAATAAAGATTTTATGTGTAAATATATTCGGCGGTTTGTTTAGAGTTAGATAGAGTTATGTATAAATTGGTTTCAAGTTTGATTAATGTATATTTCAGGGTTAACCAGTACAAGATTACAACTTGACTTTAAATTTTGATTAGTATTTACTACTGCTCAAGGCCAATTTCTCCGGAGCCTTCCCCGCTAACCACAAACACCATGAGTTTTTAAAGTTTTTACATATTTAAATTTTGATCCAGCACAAGTGTTAATATCATATACAAATTGTATATTAGCACAAGTACAAAAAGCAATATATTATTCAATTACACACTTTATAAAATGCTTGGTTGAATACTTATTTTAGTTTTTTTTGAAACATTCATTTTATGTCGAAAAGACCATAGTTAAATAAAAATTATTAGTTAATTAATAGTCAATAACAAATCTTATATATCCAAAATACCGATATAACAGTTTCATGCGTACATAAGTACTGATATGGTACATGTCTTATGTCCAAACTAATTATATAACATTACTAATAAGTATCAAAATTGATGATATGGTAAATTATTTTTTTCAAATATTTTTTGATGACTCGACACAATGACGACGATGACACGATAAAGTAAAATAACATCAACATTTAACGTAATTTTAATGTTGTTGAAGTCTAATTTAACTTTGATCTTACTGTCCAGCCATCCTAACCAACCGGTTTTTTTATATGTTGAAGAAGAATTGAAGGCCAGTGAGTTGGAATTGATGATTTAGCATTAATTTGATCAAACGTGTTCTCTTTATTTGAAGCAATTCCTTTTATAAAAAAGAATATGTGGTATTTGCTGATTTGCATCAAAGTGCGATTGCAATGTATTACCAACAGAAGACAAGGAAAGAGGAAACAAAGCAAAGGCATCTTCTCTGTTTCTGCTTCATATTTTAAATGGAGAATGATTAATCGGTGTAAATCAGCATTAATTAATTTGATTTTATGTTCAGTGTGTCATAATCTAATCGCATGGATATATCTGCCTACTTGCTCTGGGAACATGTCGAAAATGTTTGATTCCTGAAGATGTGGCTGCCCCACCCACCGACGACCTAACGTCGCCAATTATTGTTCGTATTTTGTCTTGTAAGGGCAACTACGGTGCCACTTTGCAATTCAAATATATTTCTTTTGTTTTCTAATATAGTATGCACAGGCCAGGTTAATTTTAATCGGATTGATTGAATTTAAAATGATTTTAGTTCATGTTATTTTTCTTATTTAGCGTTTAAGTTAATTTTAAATTAAAACTTAGATTTTTTAAAAATAGAAGGAAGCGACATAAATCAAAACTAATATACAAAAAATAGATAACTTGAAGAAATTGAAGTGTTTTAAACTTAGAAATGTTTAATTTTTCTATTAAGAAAAAAAAAAAATATGATTTAATATTTATTATTGTATTATCAACCATATAAAGATTGATTGATTCGAATCTATAAAGGATTTTGGGATTGGGCCATTTTAATTGGTAAAGACAATGTATGTTGAGTTATGGAATAATGATACTTAGGCCCTTTGCTTCATTAGTGGGGTGAAGAGCCCAAAACAACACTGGATCTTTGAGGTCCGTCGAGTTAAGCAATTTCTCTTCTCTTTTAACAATGATAATAAGGAAGAAATTCAATGGCTAGTTGACCACATTCACATCAAATGAAATGGTGGGTGGCTTTCATTAACCTAATATATCATCAAATCCATACATTTTACATTAAAATCATTGTGAAATGGTCCCAATCCCAAGCACGGAAGTGATGATGTTGAGCACAAAATGCAGTTGATTAGTAGACAGCTTGGCCTGAACTAACCAAGAGCCCTCTTTGCTAAATCACTATCACTACTTGATTGACTATAACTCGTTGGCTTTGAACCAAAGCAACAAATGACGATCCACTGATTGATTATACAGACTGAAACCCTCGGCCGCACGAATAGTATTAGCGTTCCCTTCCAAATCCTCTTAAAACTCTATGCACGGTTCTACCTATATTAATTATTATATTGTACTATACAAAACTATTATAAAATAAAAAAAGATATCAAAATTTTATGTGGAAAACATTAAACGAAAATAACTAAGCATAGAGGAGTGTGATTTGTGAACTTTAATACTAGAAACAAGAATACATAGAAAGTATCAGTCTTTAGACCTTCATCTCCACCAAATAAATTATATTATACATTTTTTGAACCTAATCAAATACAATTTAAAATATAAAACTCTAACATTAATAATATTGTCTGATTAGAGCAAAGCTCACTTATTATGTACCTTTGTTTGAAATTCTCCCTCTTTCTCCGACTTGATTCGTTTGTTTTTTAATTTTTAAATATCATTTAATGAAACGTGACGACTTCTTAATTTACTTGTGAAATTAAAAACCTCGAAAACTAAATACATTAAATAATTATGCTAAAAATAATAAAATAATGAGATGAAAAACGTTTTAAACTCTGTGGAAAAGCAGATTGAACCAACCGACAGACGAGGAGAATAAGAAAGCAGAAATGGGGTTAAGTTTTGTTGGCTTGGAGTTGAAGGCATGTGTTTGAAGCTTGAAATTTGAACCACTCTTTCTCTCTCTTTAGATGTTAGCAGAGACGCAAAAAATTAAATTCAACACTCAACACTCACTGGTTGTACGGAACTCCGTTGGTTTTTTGTAATATTTTTATTGGTGTTTGACCGGCGGCGCCACTAACGATCCACCACAAAGGCGGAGAAAAAGTCTCTAAACTCTCTCCCTTCTCCTACCACTTGTCACCACCTAGTCACCTTCACTCTTCAAACCTCAGCTCTCCTACCCATTTAGCTCTCTTCTTTTTCTAATCCATATATGTTTTCCATCCACAAAAATTATTAAACCAATCCATTACTCCTACTAAAAACTAGGACTATTGTCCCCTTAATTTTTCACCATACAACCCTTTCACTATACAAGAACAAACTGCTCACCCTTCTTTTCTTTCACTTCATCATATCATTTAATTCCCAGATTTCCCCCCCTTTTTGATTGTATATTTCTATGGCTTTTATAGTGGATCAACAATCTGAGCTCAAATACTTTTGCAAAATCTGCAACAAACGTTTCGGATGTGGGAGAGCGCTTGGTGGGCACATGAGGTCGCATGGAATCGGAGACGAGAGCCGGTACATCGAAGACGACGACACTGCAAGTGATTGGAGAAGCAAGTCGGGAACGAACATCGTGCCGTCGAGCAACAAACGCATGTATGGGTTAAGAACAAACCCTAATCGTTTGAAGAGCTGTAGGGTTTGTGAGAATTGTGGCAAGGAGTTCTTTTCATGGAAATCTTTACTCGAGCACGGTAAATGCAGCTCTAAGGATGCTGAATTGCCTGGTTCGTTGCAAAGGTTGGAAGGCAACGACGATGTTGCGATGACTAATGGCTCGGGTTATTTGTCTAAGAGGAAAAGATCGTTGGTCTCCGATTGTCCGTCGAGCGTAGAGGAAGATGTTGCCAATTGCTTGATGATGCTATCCAAATCAACCGTTGTACTTCCTCTTGTTAACGAGCCTGAAGAGTCTTGTACTTCGGCTAGCAAAGAAGAAGAGACAAGAAACACGATGGATTTCGTTACTGCCATTTCATATAGGCCTAACGTACCTATGGATAAGGCCAAAGGTGTAGCAAAAGGGGCGTTCGAGTGCAAAGCATGCAAGAAAGTGTTCAATTCCCATCAAGCATTGGGTGGACATAGAGCTAGTCATAAGAAAGTTAAGGGATGTTTCGCAGCGCGGCTCGATAATGATCATAACGGTAGAGACGATAGTTTAGCCGACCACGATTACACCGAGTTTTTTGTCGCAGATCTATGCCGACTTTTCGAGTCCATACATTGGCCTCGACATCCAAAACAAAATCAAAAGTACACGAATGTTCGATATGTCATCGGGTATTTTCGTCTGGACAAGCATTAGGAGGACATAAAAGATGTCATTTGATAACGTCGAATCCACCTGCTGATCACACTCCCTCGTTAATTAAGTTTCAACGGTATCAAGACAACATAAAGAAAATTCAGCAAACCCATAGATCAAGTTTTATTGGTGATTCTGAGAAACTTGATCTTAAGCTTGACCTCAATCTTCCTGCCCCAAGGAACTGCATTGATCGATCGAGTTTTGATGTTTCAACAAAAATCTATTTGCAGCCTTGGATTGGCAAAGAAAAGGAAGATAATCTGCAGCAACTGCATGTTGACAATAATAACAGCAATGATGCGATTAAGAACAATCTCTGTAATGTTTCTAACCAAGATGAAGAAGACAAAACTGGCAGTACGATAATGTTAGCAAAACTAAGTGAACTAAAGGACATCAATATGAGTGCAAGCTCACTTCCATGGCTGCAAGTTGGGATCGTTTCAACTACTAATGTTTGTTCTGACCCTTAGTTTCGTGATTCAATCACATAATACTTGGAGCCCTAGAGGGGGGATTAATCCCAAGAACTAATTTTTAAAAAGCCCTTGGTGTATAATGTTTATATGTATTCACATGTTAAATTAATTTGGATCCTTACAAAAATATTATATTTATTTAGTAAATTAGTGTTATTGTTCATTCCTATACATACATTTTTGTTTAAATATTCAATTTGATAAAGGAATTTTGTTTTGTATACTTCATGTCTAAATTTTATGGTCTTTGTTTAAAACTTGTGGCTGCCATTTCCTACTATGTGTTTTCAAGGTTTGAACATCATTTTTTTGGAGTGTAATGTGTGGTACCACTGCATCCACCCAACATTTATTGGCATGGTGAAGAAACTTTAATTTGATGCAATTGCAGGGATATAATTTTAATTTTAATTCAACTAAATATATTACAGGGTTACACCAAGTTAATGTTACAAATTTATTTTTAAAATAATAAAGAGCCTACTGGGTTGAGCAAAATTCTGTTTATTGTATCTCTTAATTTGGCAATTTGGAACTTGTGAGAAGGAGATAGAAGAAGAGTCAAATTCCAAGCTAGTAGAGTATAGTAGATTTGTTATACCCATCCAACCACGCCTGCCTTGTCATACATCTCACAAATCAATATACAGTCTTTTTTTACAGCGATATATTTAAATTATTTGTTTATTGTACAAACAGAGAGATATTAATGGTAAAAAAGTTGTTATTATTTACGAGGTTTTAGGTTCGAGTACAATAAATATCAGAAAATGAAAGTTTAATATCGAAAGTTTATTATCGAAAGTTATCTTTGAGTAGATATTACCTTGTACTTACCAAAGATTAATAAAATAATAATAATTTATTTATTAGTTTGCAAAATTAAAAGAGCCAAAAGCATTATGTTAATTACTAAAATCAAGAGTATTATTCCTTACAAAATTACATTGATAATGAAAATAAGGATAAAATACACAAATTGTCCAATGATATAAGGTATTGTTTTATTAAATCACTCGACTATTAAAAGTTATAAAATAACCACTCGACTATTCGTTATGTTATGTTTCAAACTCTCATTTTTTTCATTTAAAAAATGGTAATATTCTAAGTTAAACGGTAACCTACTGACTGTGATATGATAATATTTGATTCTAGAATCCCAAACGATTATCATATCTAAGTTATTATATTAACGTCTAACTTAGACAATCATCAATTTTCTAACATAAAATGATGAGTTTGGAACATAATGAATAACCTAGTTACTATTTTGTAATTTTAATAGTCAAAAGACTAAATAAAGTAACATTTTATAATCAGAAATCATTTGATAACTTTCAATAATCAAAATACTTAATAAAATAATACATCTAATCAAAAACTATTTGTGTACTTTGTCCCCTAAAATTAAATACTCAGGAGCATGCATCGACAAAACTATATTAGTATTGAAACGTCAAATATTCCCCATCCCGAGTATCTAAACTAATTTTATTCATTTATGCGAATTAAAATTTAGTAATTATGACATAACAATTATTATATTATTTTTTTGAAAGACAACTATTATATTAAGTCGTAACTTTAAGTAACATATGAAATAAGGGTAAACTACACAAAAGAAAACTAATGTTTAAGTAAATTTTTGTTTTTTCAACTGAAATTTAAAAACTAACGAAATGGTCACTAATATTATTGATTTATAACAAATCGATCCTTCAACGTTAATAGCTATTAAAGTGAGGGATGAAAAGCTTATGTGGTCTTTAACTGCTTATCTGACAACGTTAACAAAGATCCTTCTCAAAACTAGGTTAAACTCTTGGTCAAACATCTTGACAACAACAATGACTTTTCATACTTCGCAAAAGAATTAAGAGAAAAATCGTGAATTCCTCGCAAGGGTTGACTGATTTTTCTAGGAACCCAAGCTAACACAAGATCTTTATATAAAGCTTATCTGCATAAAGATGCATCCAAAGCCTCAAATGTAAAATTTTCTAAACTCACATATTGAATTCAATCAATGTTTTCTTTTCAATTACCAACAGAATCTTATAGTTCAATACAACCTGAATTGACAATAAAATTAGATGCCAATACAAGGATTAGTAGGCTGCCTCTTTTTTGTTTTTCGTAAGATTGAAACCAGCGGTCGACAAGCAAGCAAGCAAGCTTCATCCCTCTAACAACTATAATTTCAGTGTTGACCGATACTCTACCGTAATCCAAGATCTTCTGATTTATAAGCTCATCTACTCTAGATTTTTGAAAGAGGTTGTCAACTAAACTGACCGTGAACTTTTTTCTGAGAATCTCAATTTCAGATGCCACAATGACACCATGGTAAGAAGCTATATCAAGAGTTATAAGCGGTAGGGATGGATGCAGAATTTTATGTCAGTAGAGGTGAACTTGAATTTACAAAATTTTAGGAGATAAAAACATATTTTCAATAGAAAATTCATTGAAAAAAATTAAAATATATGATGATTTTAAATTTTAGAGGTGATTGTCCTAATTCCACCTAGTCCATTCCTGGGCAATAGTAATGGTAGACGCATCAGGTGGAAGAATCGAAGTGGAGGCATCAAAACATGGGAGCTCATCTCCAGTCATAGTAAATATTCCACTTAAAGCAAGACAAGAAAGTGTATACAAACAAATTACCACCAACAGATTCTTTTAACTAGAGTATTCAACATGTTTGCTTTTTTCCCCTCTTACCAACAATAAAGCAAGGATTCAAATGCTGGTTACGGTCGAGTTTGTTGCGATTGCAAATATAACGAGCGGTATTGCAAGGTTTGTGGGTATCACAGTCATACAATAACAAACGGTCGTAGAGGACACCGTTACCGTTATTTCGCGGGCGCTATTGCGATCACGGATCACTATTTAAATCCCTGCTATAAAGTAAAACAAAACTAAAATGCATGAATTTTCCAAAATTTTGATCTTCATTTTTGAAAACTTGTCGAGAACAAGAAGCAATTGCAAGAATATGATCAAACAGTTAATATTTCTTTGACAGGGGAGGTTCTTAGGGGAGGTTAGGGGAGATTTCTGCGTGACGATGAAACAATTAAGGCGGTTCTTAGGGGAGGTTAGTATTTTTTTTTATTAGCTGTCGACATGGAACTTCTGTGGCATGACAGGGTATCTTTACGTTTACTATTGACAGGCCGTATAAATTTGCTTTAGCTTCCAAGTGTTGACACTGTTCATAATGTTGAATTGTTTCTTTCAAGGATTTTATTAATTAAATGTTTCTTTGAAGGCGGAGGCAGGCAAATTATACTTGTTTACCCTGCTTGGTAACAAAGAATCAGTGGATTGCCGTGTGGTTATCTTTGCAATTAAGGCACTTAATTGCCTTTTAGAAACTACTAGCAAGACTTCCAGAGAATTTTTGGAAGATATTTGACACATTTAGCAAGTAAAAGCTTAGCTTACTACTCTGGGATGTGTAAGATACAAGATATTAACATAAATTATCGTACATTGCTAAGCCCTAACTCTGTGAGCTTAATCTTTCTGGTAGCATTAATATGCTACTGTTTGAATATAGGATGTAGTAACTGTGAAAGTGCTTTGGAAATGCATTTATGTGATCACTGACATTTCTCCTGTGTCTTGTATAAATAATATTTTGTAATCCAGGCATTTTCAGAAGCCTATTCTATTTTGGAGGATGAGCTTAGTTGCCTATCAAGTAACACTGATTCATCATGTAACCCACCATGTAGATTGCTTCAAAAAATCATCCCAAGTATCACTTTATCATAGTGGCTTAGTTTGAGGAATCTTCACTAAAGGTATTCATTTTCCCATGATATATTGCTTAGTTAGATTTAATTTAGGATTGTCAGAAATATTCTTATGGTGACATTATTGATATAAAGCTGAAGTCCTCACCCCAATGGGAGCATTGGGTCTTGATTATTTACTGAAACTCCCTTTGGAATGTGCTCCATGTTGATCATTTTTCTATTATGCCAACCCATAGTTTGGCTCAGAGGTATGGAAGTGTTTCATTGTGATTTTTATTTCTGATTTTTTCCTTTGCATTAATTATTTGTAACTTCTAAATTCTAGATTCTTCAAGCAAGTTTTGATGTTTGTGGCCAGATATTATAGCCTCAATCAACTTTTGGTGTGATGCACAGCCAATCTTGCAATTGATCATTCCAAGTAAAGGATGCTCCGATTTAGTTCAAAATTGATTGTGCTACTTTATGGTTCGAAGTAAAAATGAAAGGGTGAATATGTAAGTAGGCACTATTATTTTGAAGATCTTTTACAATAAAAAATGGCAAAATTCTGATAGTACATCATGCGATCAATTTTGAATTTTATGTTCTTGGTGGCAATTCTAAGTTCAATTAAGGAACTTAGTATTTACCTTGCTGCCTTCTACTATTAATCTAGTGTTAAATCTGTGTGCATACTTCAACTTTTGATGCATTTCTTTGAGTGAGCAATGGTGATTGCTTGCGGGGAGTGTGTTTACTATTTGGACTTTGGGCAATTAGGCTGCCTTTTTCAACGTGAAATATTGCATTAGCAACATGCTATCTTGTTTATTCCTTTGTGCAGGATTTCTATTTTTATGTTTGGAGATTTGAATCTATCACGAAAATTCGTCTCTGTAGGTGATAAAGAATAACTTATGTGACTCTGCTTATGCTTTTTCATTTGTTAACGCTCTGTTGTATTATTTGGTTTACTTGAGTTATTTTGGCTTTTGTATTTCAGGATGACAAAACGGAATGTTGTGTGAAGTTGTTAGTTTGGAGCTGAGCTGATTGTGGTGCCATTTGCCGCAGTTAGCATCTGAACTCTGTCCTGCCAACCGAACAAAACATTGTTCATTCTATCAGATGCCATTATCCGTACGAAGGTACTCACTCAATCTGGCAGCCTATTTTCTTCATGAAATGAATCTTCGAACGAATGGATCCTGACATGGTGAAGCCACCTTTACGAGACTGGTTACCAGTAGTGAATAAAAGACCCTCACAGAAAAATACGCAGAGTGCAAGCAAAGTGATGCAAGTGTTAGATTTGTCTAGAAATTAAGTTGACAAGTTGGAAATTTCATCTTGGTTGGTGGCCAACTTATTGGAAATTTCATCTTGGTTGGTGGTCAAACTTTGAACATGTGAATTTCATATTTGGTGGCTAACTTGTACACATTAGAAAATTCTTTGGTAGGTGGCCAAACTTTGAACATATTGTTCTTGAAACTCAACTATAAATAGGCCAAAGTATTTCTATTAGAAATCATCCCAAAAACAAGTTCTCTCTTCCTCTTGTATTCTTCATTCTCCCATTTTGGGAATTCCAAAGAATTCAATTTGTTGTAATATTGGCGATATAGTGAAGTTATCATCCGGTGTGGTGCCCGAGGAGTAGACGATATTCTCGTCGAACCTCGTAAATTTGGTGTGTTCTCTCCTTTATTGTTTTTTATTCAGTTCTTTTCCATTGTGTTTCAATATTCAATAGTTTGACAGGTTTATCCGCTGTGCAACCTTTGGTGGTTTTAATCTTGACATTTTAGGTCAATTTTAAAACTAAGTTCGTGTGGGAAATAACCCGTTTTCCCCAATAATTGGTATCAGAGCTTCGGTTGAGGTTATCCTGGTGTTCCGTTGCTGAAAAAATACAGTTCGTGATATTGAATATTGTTCGTTAGAATTAAAATGTCAAAATACGGATCAGTTGAGACATCAAGCTCTTCATCTGGACCGGTGAGGAGGGTGATGTCAAATGTAAATTTCTCGGTGGAGTTTTTCGATGGATCCGGTCATTTTGGCATATGGCAAGGCGAGGTGTTAGATGCTTTATTCCAACAAGGTCTAGACATCGCCATTGAGGAAGAAAAGCCCGAATATATGGAGGAGAAAGAATGGGGAACAATAAATCGTTTGAGTGCAGCACGATTCGATCTTGCCTTTCCAGGGAGCAGAAGTATGGCTACAAGAACGAGACTTCTGCAAGTAAGATGTGGAAAGCTTTGGAGGAAAAATTCCTGAAGTAAAGCTCTCAGAATCGTCTCCACATAAGAAAAGATTGTTCAGATTTGATTATCAACCAGGCACCAGTATGAATGAACACATCACTGCGTTCAATGAGCTAGTGGAAGACTTATTGGGCATGGATGAAACCTTCAAAGATGAAGATTTGGCTTTGATGTTGTTGTCATCTCTTCCAGATGAATTTGAGCACCTTGAGACAACGTTACTTCATGGTAATGATAATGTTACCCTTAAAGATGTAACTGTTGTTTTGTATAGTTATGAACTCAGGAAGAAAACCAAGAAGGAGAGCAAGTACGAAGCAGCGGAGACCATGGTGGCAAGAGGTCGCTCGAAAAGTCAAAAGCCAAAGTGGAGAGGGAGATAAAAGTTGAAGTCCAGACTGGGAAAAGATGAATGTGTCTTTTGTCATGAGAAAGGCCATTGGAAGAAAGATTGTCCGAAGCTGAAGAAGAAAGGAAAAGCTGCTCCAGATGCATGTGTTGCAGAGCATGATGCACATGACTCTGACATATCATTGGTTGCTTCATCAACAACATTCCATTCCGATGAGTGGATATTAGATTCGGGTTGCACCTATCATATGTCCCCTAATCGGGAGTGGTTCTCCGATTTAGTGGAACTAAATGCAAGAGTTGTTTATATGGGCAATGACAATGCCTGTAAAACTGTTGGGATAGGTTTAATTCGATTGAAGAATCAAGATAGATCAACCAGAGTTCTGACGGATGTCCGATACGTGCCCAGTTTGAAGAAAAATCTCATCTCGTTGGGAGCCTTAGAATCCAAAGGCTCAGTAGTCACTATGAGAGATGAAGTTTTAAAAGTCACATATGACGCACTTGTGATGATGAAGGGCATCAGGAAAAATAATTTGTATTACTACCAAGGTAGTACAATTATTGGAGCAGTTGCAACAACTTCCGGAGGTGATGATTTGGACGCAACCCAGTTGTGGCATATGCGGTTAGGACATGCTGGAGAGAAATCCTTGCAAATTCTGGCAAAGAAAAGATTGTTGAAAGGTGCAAAGGCTTGCAAATTGAACTTTTGCGAGCATTGTGTTCTGGGAAAGCAGAAGAGAGTGAAGTTTGGCACCACTATACATAATACAAAAGGTATTGTAGATTATATTCACTCAGATGTATGGGGTCCTTCAAAGACATCATCTTTGGGAGGAAACCATTATTTTGTAACTTTTGTAGATGACTTTTCCAGAAGAGTTTGGGTGTATCCGATGAAGTCTAAAGATGAAGTACTTCAAATTTTCCTGAAATGGAAAAATATGATCGAGAACCAGACTGGTAGAAAGATCAAACGTCTTAGGACGGACAATGGAGGGGAATATAAAAGTGACCCATTCTTTGACGTTTGCCATGAGTATGGTATTGTTCGACACTTCACTGTTAGACATACACCACAACAGAATGGGGTGGCAGAGCGTATGAATCAAACACTATTGGAGAAAGTTCGATGTATGTTGTCTAATGTTGAGTTAGGCAAGGCATTTTGGGCTGAGGCTGTGACATATGCTGGCCATCTCATTAATTGTCTGCCGTCATCAGTGATAGGAGGAAAAACACCATTGGAGGTATGGTCTGGAAAACCTGCTACTGATTATGATTCCTTACATGTATTTGGATCCACTGCTTATTATCATGTGAAGGAATCCAAGCTTGATCCGAGAGTAAAGAAGGCTCTCTTTATGGGAATCACCCATGGAGTGAAGGGATTCCGCCTTTGGTGTTTAGACACCAAGAAGATAATTTGTAGCAGAGATGTTACCTTTGATGAATCTGCCCTAGTAAAGAAGGTAACAAGTGAAGCTGTCCAGACAAGTAGTACTCCGCAGCAGGTGGAGCATACTCCAAAACAGGTGGAGTTTCAGCAGATGATGATCCCAGAAGTTGATGCAGCTGATTCTTCAACTCCAATAGAAGAATCAGAAGATGAAGAGGTTCAACCCCAAGAACCATTGGAGACACCAGAAACACTTGCAGTTACAAGGCCAAGGAGAGAAATTCGTAGACCTGCTCGATTTGTTGATATGGTGGCCTATGCTCTTCCAGTTGTTGATGATGATATCCCTATCACTTACCAAGAAGCAATACAAAGCTTGGAAAGTGATAAGTGGAAAAGTGTCATGGATGAAGAAATGCAATCTCTCCAAAAGAACGACATTTGGAAACTGGCACAATTACCGAAAGGTAAAAGAGTCATTCGATGCAAGTGGGTATTTGTAAAGAAAGATGGATCTCATAACAAGAAAGATGTTCGCTACAAGGCACGGTTGGTAGCTAAAGGCTACGCTCAAAAGGAGGGAATCGACTACAATGAAGTATTTTCCCCTGTTGTGAAGCATTCCTCCATTAGAATATTGTTGGCCTTGGTAGCACAGTTGAATTTGGAGCTAGCTCAACTTGATGTAAAGACGGCTTTCTTGCACGGTGATTTAGAAAAGGAGATCTATATGACACAGCCAGAAGGATACAAAGATGGTGGTTGTGAGAAATGGGTTTGTAAGCTAAACAAATCGCTATATGGATTGAAGCAATCTCCGAGGCAGTGGTACAAATGATTTGATAGCTTTATGAGGAGGCAAAAGTATACTAGAAGCAAATATGATCATTGTGTGTATTTGCAAAAACTCAAAGATGGATCTTTCATTTATCTTCTCTTGTACGTTGACGATATGTTGATCGCTTCGAAGAGTCAAAAGGAGATAGACAAATTAAAGGCTTAGTTGAATCAAGAGTTTGAGATGAAAGATCTAGGTGAGGCCAAGAAGATTCTTGGTATGGAGATAAGCAGAGATAGACAGAGAGGGAAGCTTTATTTAACACAGAAGCAGTATCTGAGAAAGGCATTACAATGTTTTGGCATGAATGAAAATAATAAACATGTAAGTATCCCATTGGCTTCTCATTTGAAACTTAGTTCTCAATTATCTCCTAAAACTAACGAAGAATGAGTGTATATGGCAAAAGTTCCATATGCTAATGCAGTTGGGAGCTTGATGTATGTAATGGTGTGTACGCGTCCTGACATTTCACAAGCAGTTGTAGTTGTGAGCAGGTACATGCATGATCCTGGATAAGGATATTGGCAACTTGTGAAATGGATTCTATGGTATCTCCAACAAACCGTGGATGTTGGTTTAGTTTTTGAACATGATGAAGCACTTGGTCAGTGTATGGTTGGATATGTTGATTCCGATTATGCTGGTGATTTGGATAAGCGTCGATCAACTACTGGTATTTGTTTACTCTTGCTAAAGCCCCAGTAAGTTGGAAGTCTACATTGCAATCTACGGTGGCCTTGTCTACTACAGAGGCAGAATACATGGCAGTTTCAGAGGCTGTAAAGGAAGCAATTTGGCTTAACGGGTTGATGGAAGACTTGGGAGTTGTTCAAAGTCACATTAGTCTCTATTGTGACAGTCAGAGCACTATTCACTTAGCGAAAAATCAAGTCTACCATTCAAGGACTAAGCATATCGACGTGAGGTATCACTTTGTGCAGGAGATCTTTGAAGAAGGAAAGATTCTACTTCAGAAAATTGCGACATCAGAAAATCCTGCAGATATGATGACCAAGGTGGTAACAGTAATCAAGTTCAATCATTGTTTGAACTTGATTAACATCCTGAAAGTATGAACACCTTCGGGTGTGTGGTGCTTGTGAGCGCAATTAGAGGCACTACAAATTTGGGGAGTTGAAGAAGTTGAGTAGGCTTGGTAATTTCAAGCCAAGGTGGAGATTTGTTAGATTTGTCTAGAAATTAAGTTGACAAGTTGGAAATTTCATCTTGGTTTGTGGCCAACTTATTGGAAATTTCATCTTGGTTGGTGACCAAACTTTGAACATGTGAATTTCATATTTTGTGGCTAACTTGTACACATTGGAAAATTTTTGGTAGGTGGCCAGACTTTGAACATATTGTTCTTGAAACTCAACTATAAATAGGCCTAAGTATTTCCATTAGAAATCATCCCAAAAACAAGTTCTCTCTTCCTCTTGTATTCTTCATTCTCCCACTTTGGGAATTCTAAAGAATTCCATTTGTTGTAATATTGGCGATATAGTGAAGTTATCATCCGATGTGGTGCCCAGGAGTAGACGATATTCTCGTCGAACCTCGTAAATTTGGTGTGTTCTCTCCTTTATTGTTTTTTATTCGGTTCTTTTCTATTGTGTTTCAATATTCAATAGTTTGACAGGTTTATCCGTTGTGCAACCTTTGGTGGTTTTAATCTTGACATTTTAGGTTAATTTTAAAACTACGTTCGTGTGGGAAATAACCCGTTTTCCCCAACAGCAAGAGCCTCATAGAATTGGCTAATGGCATTAACAATGAGAGGGGGACTTGTGCAAGCTGTGTTGTCAGCCGAGGCTGGTGGCATGTATGTAAACTAGAGATCGACAAAGAAGGCCACTAATTGGCAGGTCTAAAAACGGACTGGTGGTTGTGAGGTCTGCCAGTTTTGTAGGAGTGTTGGGATGGGCGTTGTATGACGGGAGAGATCCATACTCGCCACTTCCTCTTTCTTGTTGCTTTTGACATGCGATTTTGTGATCGCAAACGGACAGTCTTGGACTCTTGGTTCACATATTGGTTTTAAAGGCAAACTATTTTTTTTAGTTTGGAAGTAGTAAAATAATTAAGTTTTTTCATCTAATATAAAACCCCTAATAATTGTTATCGGCTTAAGTTCTTGTCTTAACAACCTTCCACTCATATTTGCCATAGCCCCACCAATGCAGACAGCGCGGCATCCTAGGAGGACCCATTTCATTTATCCTTATAGTTCTCCACCTTGATTGATGCAAAATGCTCACGTCTATAGAAACAACCTTATAGTTTCTGTAGTTTTTTAAGAGTGTTTTGGCATGAATTTTAATACAATGACGAACGAATATGCTTAGGAATTCTCTCATCTCAACGACTCTTATTATACCTTCTCAAACTCTTCACATCATCACGCCAAGCATATGCTCTTCGATATTATATTACTCTTGCTTCTAAAACCATCCACCCATTCGCCTCCTCCAATTCCTTCTCTTTTAACAATTCCAGAGTCTCTATCTTCATTCGATTTTTGGGTGTCTCTTTGAGTATGAAGTTCACGAAGAGATTAAAGCAGCAAATTAAGGAAACACTACCGGCTTGGCGGAACAAGTTCTTGTCTTACTAATAGCTGAGAAAGCTCGTTCGACTGATTTCTTCGGCGGAGTCTCTCTAGTACAGAAAGGCGGATGCCGGGGCTGAATTTGTGTGCTTGTTGAACAATGAGATTGACGAGCTGTTTAATGTTCTTTCATGGAACAAGGTGAAGACTTTATCATCCGGCATAAGTTTGATTACTGGAAGCTTATAATGATTTTTTTTTTGTATCATAGACCCATGAACATATATAATAATAGTAATTGCTATAGCATGTATAGTGAGTCAACTCAAGTGAGTCATCCAACCATCCCCACGGTAGCAGGGAAATGGATTTTCAGGAACACAGTGGTGGCGGCTCTACTGAGCATGCAAGATATTAGGAGAGGAGGGGCAGCTCTACTTACCGACATTTTTCTCTGCCGCCTCTCGATTTATCCCCACTGTCTGATCACAGAACATAAATGAACTCCGATGTATTTTTGATCTATTATATCATATCACATCACTATTACATCTAACATTTAAGTGTTAGTGTCATGCTTGTAATTATTTTAATTGAATGACATGTTTGTAACTTTTAAAAACAAGTGTCTTTTTTGTTACTAAACATATATTTTAATGATCTGGGGTGTATTTTACCCTTATTTTTGTTACGTTTGCTGGTTCTGAACTAAGCCCATAGTGGCCTCGAACTTGAAAACATGTAAATTTGGACCTTGCTAAAATCCAACCCAACTCAAAGAGAAACAAAAGTCTGGCAGAGGCTGGGTAGCCCGTGTTATATTACAAACCAACGCCTGGCCTCACATCCAATCTGCTCTGATTCTGATTCTGATTCCTTTGCCTGTCCTGTCCACCTCCCTAAATAAACATAGGAAGACGAGTGTTTGATTAGAGGATACTTTACAAGAGTTTTCATTGTCGGGTTTGTAGAATTTTTACCCATTTCAGCAAAGCAATATCTTTCTCCGGAAACAAGGTAAATCGTGATTAACTAGTACTAACCAAACGAGCTTTTAATATTTACCAGTTGCCAACCCTAATATGTGAATTCCTGGGGTTTTTATTATATTAATTTGCATGATGAACACTGGGTTTTACTTTGTGGTGTAGTTGTGGTTTGTTTCATTTTGTGATATGGGTGCTATTTTGGTTTAACTCGAGGATTTTGAACAACGTTTACATTGGTATTTAGGAAATCTGTGGAGGACCCAATTTTAAAATTGTTCATAGAACCACGAATGAATGAATTGTTAGTTGGTTTTCGGTAAATGAAGATTGCATTTGGTTATGCTGCTGGCTTTGAGATTTGAGTTTGCTGGGAAGATATTGCTTTGCTATACTTGTAATTAGCTTTTAGGTGTTAAAAAGAGCCTCTTTACTATAGATGCCGACACTTGGACCGAGGTTTGTGTCTAATTAGCGTGGTGTCTATAATTACGTGAACAATTAAGACAGGCTTTGCTGTACTTCTATCGACATAAATCTTAGCATTTGTGTGAACATCGAAATTTTGGAACACTGTATTTCATGCATGAATTTGCTGAAAATATCTGAATCTACAAGAACTTTACTGGGAAACAAATAATTCCACGATGTTAAGTTGTTCGGCCTCGAGTTTTCCGACCAACAATCATATGTATTTTTCAGAGAAATGAAAACCGTGTCATCTTGTCGCTGAAGATATCTTTTATGAACCTAGGAATGGCTTCTCTAGCTCAAGCTCCTTCTATCAGCTTCATCACTAAAATTCCTCAGGTTCGTTCCAAATGCTCACTATTGTTAAAAGCTTCAAGGGTGCCTTATGTGATCCCCTTCCGTCATATCCACCTCAGACGACCCCCTGTTTGCTGCACCAAGTTTCCTCAGTGGGAACCTTCACCCGTCACATACACTTTAACTGAGAAATCTGGTGAAAACTTCTTGGATAAATCATCTGAATTATTTGAAACTCTGCGTCCTGAAAGCAATGATGACAAGGCTTTAGTGACTAAAGCTAAAGATCTCACAGATACGACCAATCAGCCTGTTGCACAGTTTCAGTTTCTTAAATGGCCATTGTGGCTGCTCGGGCCTTCTCTTCTCCTTGGCACAGGCATGGTTCCAACTCTGTGGTTGCCAATATCCACCATTTTCATTGGCCCAAATGTGGTCAGCCTTCTTTCCTTGATTGGACTTGATTTCATCTTCAATCTGGGTTGCACCCTTTTTCTCCTTATGGCAGATTATTGTGCCAAATCAAAGAACATGACACAAGCTTCCAAGAGCAAACCTCCTTTGAGTTACCAGTTCTGGAATTTGGTTGCAACTTTGACCGGACTTGCGATCCCCTTAATGATACTGTTTGGATCCCATAAGGGCTACCTCCAGCCTCGGCTACCTTTCATCCCATATGCAGTTCTATTGGGTCCCTACATTCTGCTTCTAGCAGTACAAATGTTGACCGAGGTGTTGACATGGCATTGGGAGTCACCGGTCTGGTTGGTGACCCCAGTTGTGTACGAGGCTTACCGTGTGCTGCAGCTAATGAGGGGGTTGAAACTTGGGGTTGAGCTCAGTGCACCGGCATGGATGATGCACACTATCAGGGGCATGGTCTGTTGGTGGGTACTGATTCTTGGTGTGCAACTCATGAGGGTTGCTTGGTTTGCTGGTTTTACAGCTCAAGCTCGGCGACAGCAGTCTTCTGCTGATGCTTGATATTAATAGCCACCGGTATCTTAAACTGAAATAAAAGTCATATAGCTTGATATATCAAATAAAATGTATACATTTTGTTTGTTGTACATCATTAAGCAATCATTTTACATACATGTAAGAAATGTTGTTTACAGTTGCATGAATAGCTTTATACAGATGTTAATATGAATTCCAATAGCAAGTATGCTTGGATGTTTCAGATGATTTGAAATTCAGTTTTACAAGGATTCTATGATGCCTTAGTGCTTGTATTTTTAACTTTTATAATTTAGTACCGTGATTTATTTAATTTAAAAATTCAGGTTCAATCGGTAACGTTGTCAATTACATACGTTAAATTTAAATGTCAAATTTTGAAATTCAAATGTCTGATTCAATTGGGGAACATCCGTAGAACATGACCTCCAAGTTGCCCTTTTGCTCCTCGACACACTTGGTAGCTGCTGAAAAGAAAGGAGAAATGAAGAAAAACGGGGAAACAAATGTATACTGTATAGTATACTTTTGTAGAATAGACTACTTATCAAATAGTACAGACGGTGTGATGGGTGAGAAACAACTATTGTACATTGTAATTGACAGTAGAACTTTTAAGTGACTTGTAGAATAAAAAGAAGGGAGTATTGAGTCTTGATCACAAGATTATAATCTGTTCAGAAAGGTATATCATACAAGCTTGAATCCGGTTTACGGATTTTCAGATGTTCGTAACATATTGCATCTGCTGACAATCTTCCGGAAATCATCAAGATTTAGCTGCAGGTCAACCAGTGAGAATTCATACATCAAGAAAAAGAAACTGTTGAAAGGCCAACATCTGGGTTAACTTCTAGGATGAAAATTCAAGAATCTAAACAGCTAGTCATGCCAAGTATATGCTAACAGATGATTAATGCTATAAGAAATACATTGAATCTGGCTAGGCTAGCATAGGAATGAATTTTACTTCTATATTATTCTTTTATTCATATAATACATATCAAGAGAAGATGAACTACAAACAAAGAATGGCTCATTGAATTTTTGAACATATAGGTCGTTTAAATATTTTATATATTGGGGAAAATATTACTAACTAAAAGAATGTACTGACCTTCCCATCGCCATCGGTGTCAAAGCAATGGATCATGTCAGTCAACTCCTCATCTGTCCATATAAAATCATGTGCGATAGCTACTCTTCGTAAATCTCTCGTAGAAATGCTTCCTTTTCCAGCTTCTGATAGCGAACAATGCTTTTATCATTGACTAAAAGCATATTCAAGAATGGAGAGAATACCAATAACAAGACTAGTATTATACAAATGGGATTTGTTCAGCATTAGGTTTCTGATTCTAATTTGACTGAGCGGAAACATGCAATATGAGTAAACGGACCAAAATCCTACTAAGCTAACCACCCCAATTTCTTCTGAGGTGCAATGATAATGTTAAATAATAGATGTTCTTGAGATAGAACAGATTCTTGATGATTTGAGGAACTACTTTCATGAGCAAAATGAGACACGCAAAGCAGCTTTGAGAATCTCAAATGAGATTCTTCTCGCCAATACAAAATTTTAGATCTGCAAGTGCAATGCTAATGCAAAACCCACATGGTTCATAGTTTTTAATCTTTCTATAGTAATAATCTTACATTGTTGACAGTGTGCACCTTCATAAGAAAGAGAGAGTAGCATCAGAAATTACCATCGAACTGAAAGAAGTGCACGACCATTTCATCCTCGGTCATCTGCGTGCGACTGGTGAACTGTGATCCACATATGAAAGGAAACCAAGTGAATACAAATTGAGGGGGAAGCAAATAGTGCAACCCTTGAGAACCACACACACTAGAATGGAACAGAACAAACCGATTTTTTCCTCTTCGATCGAGCATTCCCCTTTCTTTCACCGGAAGTAGCATCTTGCGCATCTGTAGATACAGCACCTAAAACTTCTCCAAAATCTTTAAGGGACAGAGCAATTGCCTGAAAATGACTCCCATAAGGTTTAGCCTCGCAATAAAACCGGATGTTTATAATAATGGAAGATACACATTAATCATGTAAACTGACCTTCATTAATTCATCATCGTTATCAACATGATCCGAACTATTCAATTGCTTTTTATTATTATTACTTTATTTTCCGTATTTTCTTTCATCAATACTTTAAATTTTGGCCTTTTTTTTTCCAAAAATATCCTTTTAATTTAATATTCCCGATCAAGCACCGGTCAGACTATATTTTCTGATCTAACACCCTTAGCAGTAAGGCGCGCCCCCTGCAGCGCGCTATACGCTGATTTGGCGCCACTTGGGGTAAGGCGCCCCTGCGGCGCGCCTTATGCTGACATGGATACACGTGTGTATGGCGCGGGGCAGGTTGGTAATTAAGGATATAGCGAGGGGCAGGGTCGCGCCTTACCTGTGATTCTAACATGCGTCAGAAAGGCGCGGCCCCTGTCTCGCGCTATACCCTTAATTACCAACCTACCCTAGTCCGTTCACACTCATCCCTCCCTATAAATACACCCATTCTCAATCACTTTCATAACACCAAATCCTCTCAACTTCTCTCAAATACTCTTATATTCTCTTATCAAGGTATATTTTATTATATTTAGTATTTTTTAGTAATTTATTTAATTATTTTAATAGTTTAATATTTTATTTAATTAATTTTTTTGCAAATATAAAATGGAAGGCGGTCTACTTTGGTTGGATGGAAATCATATATCACGACACTTTGCTGATACGGTAACATTTTAACGTTTTAATTTAATTAATTTATTTATTTATTTAATGCATGATTATTAGTTTAAAAATTAATTTATGTAATTATTTATATTTTAGGAGAGAAACCGTATATTAGATCCTTTTATTAGGAACTTTAAGTTAGTTATACCTACTCGTGTAATGTCGTATTTAGTAGAGGTTGGATTCGGTCACCTAGGTAGATATCAGGGTCACTGTAAGATAGAATCAGACCTTATTTCTGCCTTATTAGAGCGGTGGAGGCCGGAGACCCACACATTTCATCTTCCGTGCGGAGAGTGCACGATCACGCTTGAGGATGTTTCTATGCACCTGGGGCTTCCAGTGAATGGAGGTGTGATATCAGGGATAGCTTCCGGTTCTTGGACTACTTTGTGCCAGGTTAGTCTAGGACGTGTCCCGAAAAATGTTAACGGTGGACGGATACCGTTAAATTGGTTAGATGCCAATTTTCGGGAGTTGAGCGATGACGTATCTGACGATGAAGTTAAACAGTAAGCACGAGCATGCATACTACAGCTGATAGGATGGTTGCTGATGCCGGACAAATTGCACAACCAAGTTCACTGTATGTGGTTGCAATATCTTGGCGACTTTCATCTGGTCGGATCACTCAGTTGGGGCTCGGCAGTTTTGGCTTGCCTGTACAGGGAGATGTGTCGAGCCATTGACTACAGACGTAATGCTATCGGCGGATGTCTCCTGCTGTTGCAGTCTTGGGCATGGTATCGATTGCCCTTTTTATGTCTTATTGTCAAGAACCCATTCGTATTTCCGCTACTCCTGAGGTAATTATAAAACTGATTTTGTATATTAATAATTTTATACAGTGAATAAGAAATTATTTTTCTTGAATAGGTGGTCTACTGATATGAAAAATCATCAGGAGCTACCTGATGATTTAGAAAAAATTAAGGTGTTAATCGATCAGAAGGTTGTCACTCAGGTATGAATTTTAATGTTTAAAAATTGATTTTAGATTATAGTTATATAATTAGATTATTATTTTGATAAAAATTATATATATTTGTTTTAGTTTGAATGTGTGCCATATTCTATTGATGATGTGAGAGCGGTGATCCTACATGAGTTGAGGGGCCCATCAGATATTTGGATAGCGATAGTCCCTTTGATGTGTTTTGGTTGTTTTCAACCAATTCCGGAAGCACCTCGCAATATGGACGAGTTGCATAGCACAGATAGACGCGGCAAGACATATACAGATTGGCTGGTGAGGCATCATGCGTGGGTCGTGTTGTGGGAGGATCGACATCGGCACCTTCCCCGTAGAGAGCCCATTTTACTTGACCTCTTGATGGTTGCTGAAGGTTATTACGAGTGGTTCAATAGTAACGGGAAATTGTTTCTACTTCCCGAAGATGCATGAGGCAGACCTTTCCGCGACGTCGACATAGACGTTCACCGACACAACATCATCGTCCCCCGACTCGTGGACGGAGAGCAGGTGCTTCCGATTCATCCTCAGCTGCACCAACAGGACCTTCACAGCAGCCACCGTATCCATCGGCTTACATATCGCAGTCATATATGATGCCGTCACCGCCTTTCCATTACTAGATGTCGCCACCGCTGCCTTCACCTGGTTTTATTACCCCGTCACCGCCGCCACCGCCACCGCCGCCGCCGTCACAGAGTTATATAACCCCTCCTGGAGGTTATTATGGGTCTATGTTTGCAGATCCGACTTGGGGTTTATATGCTCACATTTTGGCGGGTTCAGTGTAACATCCTCCATGCCGGGTTAGTGATTAAATTGCAAAGTTTCAACATTTGGTGATTTAAGTAAAATGATGGAAGAGTGTAATGATCTATTTGAGTTATTTGGTGTAGGATTGAATTATAAAGAAGGGGAATTAAGAGGGTAAAAGAGTAATTGAGTAAATGAAATAATTAAATATTACTTGGGGATTATATTAGAACCACGTGGGCATTAGGTTTCTAGAATTCTCTCATTTCTTCTTCCTTCTTCCTTATTTTCTTCTCTTCCTTCTCCCAACGTGAAGCTTGCAAGTAAAGGTAAAAATCTGAACCTTGGTAGTTTCTTTGATTTTTAGATTGGAAATGGAAGTTTGGATGTTATATAAGCTAAAGGAAAGCTTATATGACATTAAGACAACAAGATGAGTGTTTTAGATATAGATTTGGAAAATGAATTTTTAGATGAAATTTTGATATGAATGAGTTTTTGAAGTTTGAATAAGATTTTTGACTTGTCAAGAAGCTAACTAAGAAGTATGAGGTGTTAGAATTCAAATTAGAACATATTGGAATTTGGGTTAGATTCTTAAATTCTACATGGAGAATTAGATTTCTAAGTTTTAGAGGTATTTAATGGATAATAATTAGTTAAAGTAAGTGTATGAAAGCTAAGAGTAGTAAAGAGAGTGAAATATGTATGTTTGAGCTGAAATGGGATGATTTCCGAGCTCAAAATAGGATTTTTGGGCTAGGGGAATCGGTACCCATTCAAGGGGAACCGATACCCCCTCAACGAATATGAAATTCCAGAATGCTAGAGGGGAATCGATACCCCCAGGGGGGGAACCGATTCCCCCATGAGAAAAAAAAAGAAAGTAAAGAAAGAAAGATTAAACTATTAATTCCTTAGATTGGTAAGATATTAAAGATTAATTTCAAGACATAGACATCTGATAATCATCTTGAAAATTATGTTTATGTAGATACCGAGCCTACACGAGTTCGGGAAAAATCTACCAGTAGGATCGATCGAGGAAAAGGCAAAGAAGTATAGGTGAGTGCATATGCATAGCATGATTATAGAAATATACTCCATTCTAGACTTGTGATAAGTCTAGATTTTATATCTTGGTACATGAGCATATTCTGTATTATGAGACATGACATGAGTTCATATAAAATGCATTATATGACATGAATATGTGGGAAAAGTTATGAGCTATGTGAAAAGGTAAGAAATTACATGTCTAAGCGATATAGACTACGTGAAATGTAAAAGCCCATGTTATGTAGATGAGAACTATAGGTATAGTTGGCATGCCAAGGGTAGAGGGTCTACGCGGTTCTTTGGGACATATGTATATTCTTTGGAACATGTGTGAGGTTTTGAAAGACACATACTTGATCCTTAGTATATGTATATGATTCTTAAGGAATTCTATGTGGTCCTTATGGACATTATTATAGGGCACTACGGTGCAATTCTACGCGGTTCTTTGGGACATATGTATATTCTTTGGAACATGTGTGAAGTCTTGAAAGACACATACTTGATCCATAGTATATGTATATGATTCTTAAAGAATTCTATGTGGTCCTTATGGACATCATTATATGGCACTACGGTGCAATTCTACGGGGCACTTCAGTGCATTTATACGAGCTGTGGTGACAACATAGTGCACAACCTCACATTACTACGATACCTTAGGTTCTCAATATGCTATCATGGGCTAATAAACTTATTAATACAGATTCATGAATGTTACAGTCATACGCTTACAGGTATGGATATTAATGATGTATACTACATTGATTAAGTACATGTTTGCATCTCATTTCATATGATCATGACATTTTCATTACATTGCCTTGTTATTATTATTGCCTCACTAAGTCGATGACTTAGCGTGTGAGTGTTTCACACGTAGGATCCGAGGAAATAGACGAGACAGGTGAAGCAGCTTGACAGTATTACTCCTGCAACCGTCAGATCAGAAGCAACTTAATCAGTAGGTCATTTTGTTATGTAAATGGCAGTTGGCATGTAATTAAAGGGTTAAGTTGTGTATGCTCTGAATATTTTGGTAAACTTATATTACAGTATGTATATTATTGTATTTTCTTAATATATGTTCAAATATTTTACTATTATTAGTTAAGAGTTGTGTTTTAAAGTCAATGTAGTATCTCTGACTCATATCCGGGTCGGGTATGGGTTGGGGGTGTTACATTTAATGGTATCAGAGCTATGGTTTAGCCGATTCTAGGCATAAACCAGAGTCTATAGAGTCTTTAAATGGAATACATGCCAACAAATAGTGAGAACTTCTGATCTGGTATAGTATGAGTATGCTGTTTTGCTAATAGAACAATGTGTTTATTCTTATTAGATGTCCGGACATAATAGCTCCCGAAGTGAAGCGGGAGAAGATAGGCATGCTGAAAGCAGTAATTCACCTGCCCTGGCCAGGCAAGGTGAAGAACAGGCATCTCAAGGAGTGCCTGTGCAAGATCAAGATACGTTCTTCAGAACGTTAGACGCTATTCTGACGCGTCTTCAACCTTCTGCTCCACTAACTCAA